CATGAGAGCCAGTGCCCCAGAGTCCTCCCATGGCTGTTCAGCTGCAGGGCCCCAGTGATTCACAGAATGGAACCGGGGTGGGGCCTGCAGCCACAGGGTCTCCCAGGGAGAGGCCATAATGCCTTCCACCTTAAACCTGCAGAGAATGCTGGTCTCGGGCACCACGGCCTGTTTCCACTTGTCGTGTGCATAGAATGTGCTCATCTGTTCTGAGACCTTTGCCTCTGTGATAGCCACCATGGAGCTTGACCACACATGCAAAGTCAAGTGGATGGGTCTTTGACCAGGAAGACATAGCACCTCCCCAGGAAGACTTAAGCCCCTGACCCCAGAAGATACGTGACACCTTGGGTTTGCACACAGCTCCTGGGATGCTGGAGTTTTCAGGTCCACTTTTAGCCAAGGGTCTGACTTGTTCTTCTAGTCCTTTCGGAGAACACTCATTCTGGACTCCAAAGCCCCAGCAGCAAGCAGTCCCTCCTCTTCTCTGCATATCCACCCCAACAGACCCTGCCTGCCCTCCTGCCCTCCCAGAGAGAAGCCAACCCTGCTAGCCATTAGCCCTGCTCTCTCATGCCATTTCCTCTTTTTTTAAAAGGCAGTCTTGCTCTGTTGCCCTGGCTGGAGTGCAGTGGCACTAACATAGCTCATTGCAGCCCAACCTCCTGGACTTAAGTAATTCTCCTACCTCCTGAGTAGCTGGGACTGTGGGCACACGCCACTATACCGGGCTAGTTTTTGTATTGTTTTTGGTGGAGACAGAGTCTCACTGTGTTGCCCAGACTGTTCCTGAACTCCTAGAATCAAGCAGTCCTTCCACCTCGGCCTCCAAAGTGCTTGTGCTGGGATTACAGGTGTGAGCCACTGCACTTGGCCTATTTCCTTTCTTGACTGTTCTGAGGGCAGGGCAAATTGGTGACATTCCTAGTAGTGTCTGAGGCTTCAGTGGCAGAGGAAGGATTGACTGTCATGTGTTTCTCATGCCCCTGTCACTTGGAATGAGTCCAAAGCCCTGTATACATTACACTTCTATGTTCTGGGCACCAGGAATAGGGAGCAGATGCCGCAGGGCCCCAGGTCAGTGGCTCCCCAGCACATTGGGTCACCCCGGCCACACTAATGGTGCTCTCTGTGCCTTTGGTTACATTTCCAACAACTCTGGGGTCCCTAGCGCTTGATCCCTAGCTTTGCTGACCTCCCATGGAGCCATCCCTGGGACTGCAGGAAGAGCCAGATTAGGAGGCAATGATTTGTTATCGGAATACAGCCATCATTACTAGTTTTATGACCGTAGGTCCCTTTGTCTCTCTGAGGCTCATTTCCTTGTTTATAAAACAGGAACGATAATGCCTCTCTCATGATTGTCATGAGGAGGGTGCCTGGCATGCAGCCAGATCTCAGTAAATAATGGTGGTTTTTATTTCTGTCACTGTGAGCCTGGCCATGGGGGCCCTGACCTTCACTTCAGCCCTGTCTACAGCTCAGCTTTCGGGAGGGGAGAGGATTACCTGCCTCCAGAAACCCAGGCCAGTTCTGGAATGGCCAGACACAGGACGGTGGCTGTGGGTGAGGGCCACCAGGGGCTGTGGCATTCTGAGCAGCGAGGGCCACGGTTGGGCCTTGCAGAGTGGGGCACCTGCACTGCCAGGCTGGCTGTCAGGCCACTCCTTTTGGCAGGTCACCCAGGTGGCTTCAGTTCCTGCGGAGAGTGGGAGGTGGAACCCCTTACCTCAGACTCCCAGCCCTGAGCCAGTGTTGCCTGGCTCACCACTATCCCTGCCCCTGTCCCCAGAGCTGGCCCCTCCCTGGAGAGTGTGGGCCAACTGCTTCCCAGTCCTGTCTCAGCACCAGCACCTCTCTCCATCCCAGGTGGCCCTGATGAAGCAGATGCGTGAGGAGCAGCAGCGGCGGCGGCTAGTGGAGACCAAGAGGAACCGGGAGATCGCGCAGCTCAAGAAGGAGCAGCGGCGACAGGAGGTGAGGGGTGGCCCTTGGGCCTCCCAGGAGCCTTTGGCCCTGGCTCTCCCAGCCTCCTGGTACAGCTGGTTGCCCCTCCTGACCAAGCAGGCCTCAGTCTCCACTGTCCTAAGTGGTAATGGTCGTGCTTGGAGGACAGTGCTGCCTGTCAGAGGAAGACCAGACCCTGGTCTGGCCCAGCCTCCACATGTTAAGAGTGGGGACTTGAGCCCTGGAGAGGGGAAGGAGCTTGCCCAAGGTGACCAGCAAGCCAGAAATGTGCAGCTTCAGGCCCTGCAGAGAAGCCCAATAGGGCTGAGCCCTCCGTGCCAGGATTCTTCCCCACTGGAGGGAAGAAGAGGCTAAGGAATTGCCCTTGTGGAGAAAGTGGACTTCACTGCAACCACTGGGGAGGGCACCTCAACTCTGGGTCCCACTTTATCAAGAGTTTGGCTGCATGAAAATCACTCTGAAGCCCAGGCTTTTAACTGCGGAGCTGGCCAGCCTGTGTACAGACAGAGGGGGCCAAGGTGCCTGAGGGTGGACCCTAGCCCTCTTCTGTCTCCCACAGTTTCAGATCCGAGCTCTGGAGTCCCAGAAACGGCAGCAGGAGATGGTCCTAAGGAGGAAGACCCAGGAGGTGAGCTTACTCACGGGCTGCTGAGGCCCCGTTCTTGCTGCACATGTGTGTGTGTGTGCGCGTGCGTGCGTGCCTGTGTACGTTGCTTGCCTTCTTTCTTGGGCCTCCAACTTCCTGGCAGTAGAATAAAGGTGGTATTTCCCAGTTCTGCCAGAGCCGGCAGGGAGGGGAAGCAAGCCCTGCCTGTGACCCTGGCTCTCCCTCCTTCCATTCAGCAGGCGTAGTCGGAGTCCAGATTGTGTCCAGCCTATTAGATGGGCTTTTCTCAACAAGAGCTCAGGCTGTAGGGCAGACTGCAGGCTCCGTTCCCAAATGCCTGAGCTGTGCATTAAAAAAAATAGAAGGTGGCAGCCTCTTTTGTGTTCATGTCACATCACACAGAGACCCCTTGGCCCTTTTGCAGCCCAAGCCCGGGCCAGCACAGAGCAGTCTCTGTGTTCTCGCTGCCTGGCACCCCAACCTGGGCCCATCTGTGTGGCTCCAGGCCACCCTGCTCACCAGCTCCCTCTTTTCTCCCTGCTGCCCCAGGTTTCTGCACTGAGGCGCCTGGCCAAGCCCATGTCTGAGCGGGTGGCAGGGCGTGCAGGACTGAAGCCACCCATGTTGGACTCTGGGGCCGAGGTGTCGGCTAGCACCACCTCATCTGAGGCTGAATCAGGGGCCCGCTCTGTCTCCAGCATCGTGCGCCAGTGGAACCGCAAAATTAACCACTTCTTGGGGGACCACCCTGCGCCTAGTGTCAATGGCACCCGTCCTGCCCGGTAAGGTGGACTGGCAGTACCCTGGCCTGTGCAGGCAGAGGGGGTAAGAATATGGGACAGGACCAGGGTGAGGGAGAGGGAAGCTCTGGAGAGTACTCTAGGTTCCCACGACTGTCAGCTCCAGGGAGGGAGCTCAGTGGAGCTGCAGAGGTTAAAAGGAGTCCTGTCCAATCCCCTTTGCCTGTGTCTTGCAGAAAGAAGTTCCAGAAGAAGGGGGCCAGCCAGAGCTTCAGTAAGGCAGCGAGGCTCAAGTGGCAGTCCCTAGAGCGGCGGATCATTGACATCGTCATGCAGAGAATGACCATTGTCAACCTGGAGGCCGACATGGAGCGGCTCATCAAGGTGAGCCCTCCTCCCCCTTCTTTCCCACTCTCCCATCCCACTGTTCTGCCTGTCCTCTGTCACCTCCAACTTCTCTGGCTCTTCAGACCTTTCCCCGTACCCCACTCCCTCTGCTCATTGTGCCTGGAATCCAGAGGTGCTGAGGGGGACCTCACAGACCAGCCTGTGGCGGGAGCTGTGGGCAGGGCTGGGCAGCTACCTGAGACCACTCCTCCATCACAATTATCTCCCGACCCCAGAAAAGGGAGGAGCTGTTCCTCCTGCAGGAGGCCCTGCGGAGGAAGCGGGAGCGGCTGCAGGCTGAGAGCCCTGAGGAGGAGAAGGGGCTGCAGGAGCTGGCCGAGGAGATCGAGGTGCTGGCAGCCAACATTGACTACATCAACGACAGCATCACCGACTGCCAGGCCACCATCGTGCAGCTGGAGGAGACCAAGGTGTCCGCAGGGCTGGGCCTGGTAGGCGGAGGCGGGCGGGGTGAGTGGCAGGGGCAGCCCCAGGTGACGGGGCTCTCTGCCTCCCGGTCCTAGGAGGAGCTGGACTCCACAGACACATCCGTGGTCATCAGCTCCTGCTCCCTGGCCGAAGCCCGCCTCCTGCTAGACAACTTCCTCAAGGCATCCATCGACAAGGTAAGCTGGGAGCTCCACGGGCACAGATGCCCATGACATACCCTAGTGGGAAGCCCGGGGGCCTGGCTTCTCCTCACCTGCATCACTCACAGGCTGGGACAAGCCGCCCAACCTGCACACCTCCCACACCACAGCTGTAAAGCTGAGAGGATGACCATACCAAGCTTGTAGCTTGTGGCGTGGCTTGAACGAGATGCTGTGTGTGTCGGGGGGGGGTGCGGGGAGGGAAACGTGTCCTGGCACCTGGCACACAGCAGAGCCTCTGTTAGAGTTGACCTTGGGTGTCTGGCACAGGCCTGTTCAAAGCAGTGCTGGGCTTGGTTCATTGGAGGTAGAGGGAAAAGAGTGCGTATGTAGGGGCAGGAGAAGGATGGACAGACAGACCACATCCCACTTGGGGGCTCACAGCAGAGCGTCAGGTGTTCCTTGGTGTTCCTTGGGCTCCTCTCCTCTCTCCTTGACAGAGAGCTAACCAGAGGATGTGCCTCCTTCCCTCCTGGGGCCCGTGGTCTTTGGGGACAGGCCCTACATGGTGTGCATTTATGTAAGTCTGAAAGGAGGTGGGAGACTCTGCCACCTGACCCCTCCTGCTGGCTCCACTGAGCTTCTTAAAGCTCTGCTGTGTGTCTGGGGACTCTATGAGTTTGTCAGGGCTACCATAATGAAGTACCAGTCTGGGAGCCTCAAATAAGAGGTTTATTTTCTCATGGTTCTGGAGGGTGGGAAGTCCAAGGTCAAGGTGTTGGCAGGGATGGTTTCTTCTGGGGCCTGTCTTCTCCCTGCATCGTCACGTGGTCTTTGCTCTGTGCCTGTCTGTGTCCGATCTTCCCTTCTTATGAGGATGCTGTATTGAAGTAGGGCCCACCTGTATGACCCCAGTCACCTCTTTAAAGGCCCTATCTGTAAATACTTATATGCTGAGGTAATGGGGTTAAGGCTTCGAATATGAGTTTTGGGGGGACATAACCTGGCCCATAATAGGGTGTGTCCTGAGGTGAGCTTCCCTGATGTGTGTATGTGGGAGCTAAGGGGCTGGGAGTTCTCTCAGATGTATGCCAGGTACAAGGGTGTTGCTGGGAGCTGGAAGGGAGCCCTCCAAGGTATCTTGAGGGGCAGAGGTTATGTGATATGGAGAACCCCCAACCCCAGGCCAGGAGGGGTAACTCCAGGCTTTGTTCCCTGCCTCCAGGGGCTGCAAGTGGCACAAAAGGAAGCCCAGATCCGGCTGCTGGAGGGCCGACTGAGGCAGACAGACATGGCGGGGTCCTCCCAGAACCATCTGCTCTTGGACGCCCTGCGTGAGAAGGCCGAGGCACACCCCGAGCTGCAGGCCCTCATCTACAACGTGCAGCAGGGTACGGGTAGGGGCGGGTGGAAGCTGCCAGCTCCTCGGTACTCCAGTGCTCTTGGGCTTGGACCCCCAGGAGGCCGTCATTTCCCCAGAACCACCCCTAGCCCCTACTAGGAGCCCCGGTCTGATTGCAGCAGGTGACATGCAGGAGGGAGGCCATCTTCCCTCCCCAACTCTTGAACGGGGCCTCTCACCGTCTTTCCCTCCCTCCTTCCTTCCCACAGAAAACGGCTATGCCAGCACAGATGAGGAGATCTCAGAGTTCTCTGAGGGGAGGTGAGTTTGTGAGCTGAGAGTGAGAGGCTGGCTCACAGCAGGTACCTGGGGCTTGTGGGAGGAGTTGCCATAGGTCCCAGGGCTGAACCTCCTGAAGTCCCTCTGCTTCTTCCTCAGCTTCTCCCAGTCATTCACCATGAAAGGCTCCACCAGCCATGACGATTTCAAGTTCAAGGTGAGCCGCCGGCAGGCAGTGGATGCGGCAGGGCCAGCCTCCCACAGCCCATTTCCCGCTTACTGTGGCACTGCTCCACCCTCAGCCACAACACAAGATTGTCCCTAGCTGGGTTGGAGGTGCAAAAGAAAATTTAGCCTGGAATTAGGGGTTGTTAAAATATGTAACTTGTTACAGCCCATTTCTTCTGAGGTGGGTGGAAGGAGGGGGAAGTGTCTGGAGTCACCGCTAGCCTCTGTTCCCACCCTGCTAGCAACCGCACCATAACCAGGGTCCCTGCGTTCAAAAACATCACCTCCCCCCACCCCCCAACAATTCTGCCTCATACCCTGGGTCAAAACCTAACTCGAAGTGTCTGGTTACCTTACATGCACACAGTTGATTCAACCATAGGAGAATCAGCAATGAGGAAGTTTACCTAACATTGAGGGATCAGTTTCACTAGACTGAACCAAGACTTATTAAGGAGGACCAGGGCTTATTAAGGAGACAAGGGAATAGCAAACTGGGAATAGCTAACTGTGCATGCTTCTGGGGTAAACTGATGAGCTGGTGAGCAGCACAGAAGTCAGGCTGGGCATTCTGTGTTTACTAGTCCAACTAAGGGCAGTGAAACAATTTCATTTGCTCTGGATGCTTCAGAGACCCTGAGAGTTTTGCCGAAGAGCACAGGTGATGTCTGTCTGGGTTCTTCCATCAGGTCCTCTACCTTAGGTCAAGAGAACACCATTTCTCTTGTTAGAATTTCCAGGCGGGCCTGGTGCAGTGGCTCACCCGGTCATCCCAGCACTTTGGGAGACTGAGGCAAGAGGGTTTTGTGAGCCCAGGAGTTCAAGACCAGCCTGGACGACATGGCGAGACCCCATCTCTACAGAAAAAATTTTTAAATTAGCCAGGTGTGGTGGCCCATGCCTGTAGTCTCAGCTGCTGGGGGAGACTGAGGTGGGGGGATCACATGATCCTGGGAAGTTGAGGCTTCAGTGACCCATTTTACACCACTGCAGTCCACTTTTTTTGAGGCCCTGTCTCAGAAAAATAAAGTAGGATTTCCCCTGGCTTCCCTTTATGTGCCATGCCATTTGGGCAAGTGGATCTACCCTGTTCTTTCTTTCCCAGAGCGAGCCCAAGCTGTCTGCCCAAATGAAAGCTGTGTCGGCTGAGTGCCTGGGGCCCCCACTGGATATCTCCACCAAGAACATCACCAAGTCCCTGGCCTCCCTTGTTGAGATCAAAGAGGATGGCGTGGGCTTCTCCGTCCGAGACCCCTATTACCGGGACAAGGTCTCGCGCACCGTCAGCCTACCTACCCGGGGCAGCACTTTGTAAGGACAGAAGCAGGAATGTGGATTGGGGTGGGGGTGGAGTTGGGTCTGGGCCTCACTGGACTCTTCTGTTCCAGCCCCAGGCAGTCTCGAGGCACAGAGACGTCCCCGCTGACGAGAAGGAAGTCCTACGACCGCGGGCAGCCCATTAGGTGAGAACAGGTTCTAGAATCCGCTCTGGAGTCACGACCAGTCCAGTCCTTGGGTACATGAGAGGCTGTGATATTCTGCTCTGTAGATTACCTTGCACTGTGTAAGCTGGGCCAGCTTGCCTGAGCCATTAGGCTTCACCCAGTGGTCCCTTCCCCACCCTGTCAGGTGTGGACTCAAGAAATGGGCCAGGCATGATGGCTCACACCTGTAATCCTAGCACTTTGGGAGGCTGAGATGGCCAGATCACTTGAGCCCAGGAGTTTAAGACCAGCCTGGCCAATATGGTGAACCATCATCTCTAGTAAAAATATGGAAATTGTCCAGGCATAGTGGCGCATGCTTATAATCCCAGCTACTCGGGAGACTGAGGCATGAGAATGATTTGGACCTGGGAGGCAGAGATTGCTGTGAGCCGAGATCGTGCCACTGCACTGCAGCCTGGGTGACAGAGATTCTGTCTCAGAAAGAAAGAAAAATGAAAAGAAAAAGAAATGTAGTCTCTGTAACATACCTGAAACCACACAGCCGAGCCAAATGCTGGAAACTGCTGCTGTGCACCCAACACAGAGGGCTTTGGAGGGGCTTGGATTGGTCGTTGCACTGATGTGCTTCAGCCCCTTTTCATGACCATGGGTTCTGCGGAGCTTTCAGGTAGGTCTTTTTAAGGCCTTATTGTGTGAGAGGAGATTAGAAATTCTAAGGAAAAAAGAGATCAATGCAGAATGGCAGGGAAGTCCCCAGCTGGTCACCCGCATGCGGGCCAGGCCCACAGAGCAAGATGTTTGGTGGCGCGCAGCTAAATACTGGGAAAGCAAGGGCTCAAGATGGCCTCTTGCCACCTGCCTTGGTGGGAGGCAGGAGGATTGTTTTCTTTTTGGAGATAGGGTCTCACTCCATCACCCAGGCTGCAGTGCAGTGGCACGATCAGGGTCCACTGCCGTCTCCGCCTCCCAAGCTCAAGCGATCCTCCCACCTCAGCCTCTCAAATAGCTGGGACCACAGGCATGCACCACCATGCCCGCCTAATTTTTTTACTTTTTGTGGAGTTGAGGTCTCACCATGTGGCCCAGGCTGGTCTCGAATTCCTAAGTCCCAGCAATCCTCCCACCAAGGCCTTTCGATTTACCGAGATTACAGACATGAGCCACCACACCTGGCCACAAGTACATTTTAACAAATAGGTGACTTTCCAAATATGGAATCTGTGAATGATGAGGATGGATGCTGAAGACAGCATCCAGGAGCTTAGCTGGGGGTTGAGCTCTGAGAATACTGCACAGCCGGCCCTGCCCTGCGGGCCTCACAGCCCTGACAGAAGGTTGAAGCCCAGCACCAAGTGGGGGCCTGTGGGCAGGGATGGTCACTAACAGGCTGCCCTCGTCCCGGCTCACCAGGTCCACAGATGTGGGATTCACACCCCCGTCATCCCCTCCCACTCGGCCCCGCAATGACCGCAATGTCTTCTCTCGTCTCACCAGTAATCAGAGCCAGGGGTCGGCGCTGGACAAGTAAGCAGGGCAGAGGGGCGAGGAGGGAGGGCACCGAGGTGGCAGTGGGGAGCGCGTAGACACTACTTGCTGGAGGAGGGCTTAGGTGGCCAAGCCAACCCCAGCCTGAGGTTCCAGCCCCTCCCAGAGAAACGCCAGGAGATGGCACCAGAGAAATGCCCTGATGCCCTCTCCTGGTGTTTCTCTCCTTCCTGTACTGACTGGGGGCCATTCACCTCCCCTCAGCATGCTGGGCCCTCAGGAGAGGGCAAGAAGGAGGCCGCAGGGATTGGGGCTGGGCAGTTAGGCAGGCTAGCCATGTAGGGCTCTCCGGAGCTGCCCTTTAATCCACCTCTGCTGCTGCTTTGAGTCTGCTCTGAAGCCCCTTCATTCAGCTTCAACCACTCCACTCTATGCACTCTCGCAGCAGAGAGAGACCAGACCAGACCCCCAGGCGCAGGTCCACCTATATTCACAGCTCCTGATACAAGGCTCTGATGTCTAACGCTGTGGTCTGTGTTAACAGCCTCCACTGCATCCAGAAAGCACTCGCCCTGTACTTTACAACCTGCTTTCATATATGTGACTTCATTAGGCTAAGAAACAACCACGCAAATTGTCTTCCCTATTTCACACGAGAGGAAACGAGGCTCAAAGAGGGCGCCAGGGATCTTCACCTAGAAAGTGGCAGGATTGCACTCTCAGCCCGGGACTTCCAGCTCCTGCCTGCTGTGCCTCAGGAGAGGGGAGGACCCTATTCTCCATGTCCTGCTCTGGGCTTTCCAGCATTGCTGGGCCTACCCTGGCCCTGATTTGCTCTCTGCAACCCCCAAGAGGGCTCCTCTCTTAGTTTCCTGAAAGCTTCCCTACCCCAGGGTGACAATGCTGTGTCCTCCAGGGGAGCCTCAGACTAGAAAATACTTGTCCTTGTACCTAGTGCCTGACATTCACCCTCCCCACCTCCCCACAGAAATGCCCCTTCCTGAGTCAAAACACTACTTGAAGAATGCTGAGCCCAGGAGGCAGAGCCCTGCAGACATGGCACCCCAGACACCTCCTTCTCCAAACCTATCTTGGTTCAGGCTGCTGTAGGGGGAGCCAGGGACCACTCCTAGCCCATCTCCATGTGGTTAGAATCAGCAGGTCCCCATTTTGGAAGGACTGGGGTAGGATTGCCCATCCCAGCCTGGTGGTCTTCATGAAGCCTTGGTCTTGTCCGGTGGTCCAGGTCTTAGAGCCTGTGCATGATGCAGAGCCAACTCCAGGCACTGCCCTGTGAGTCCCCGGGAAACAGTGGGCTTTTTAAATAAGTGAGCCCCTGAGGAATTGCTCGAAGGAGCCAGCTCCCAGGGAGGAGCAGGATCAGGCATGGCTTCTTTCAGCCTTGGGCAGGTACAAGCATTGCTGGGGTGGGGCAGGTGCCCCCAGCTTGTGCACTGGGACAGCCAGAGAGCTTGGAACCAGCAAACAGCCCCAGAACCATCTCCCCACGTGTGGGGCTGGTGCCCCCACGTCTCCCCATGGCCCCCTCCACGCTCCTGTCCTGCCAGCCAAGAGACCCTGGTGGCCCACTCCTGGGGGAGAGTCCCAGGTCCCAGGCCAGTCCACCCCGCCTCCTCCCCTGCTCTCCCGAGGCCCTCATTCCTCTGCCTCTCTCCACTCCCCTGGAAGAGAATAACCTGCCCTCTGACCTCCCCATGCTGCTGCTGCCTCTGCGTCCCTCTGTGTGCGTCTCCTCTCACCCCCTAATCCAGCTAATTTTCTGCCCTCCCCAGGTCTGATGACAGCGACTCCTCTTTGTCGGAGGTCCTGAGGTACACACAGAACGTCTCTCGTGTTTGCTTCCCCACTCTTGCTCTCGGCACCCTCTCTTCTCTGCCTCTCACTGCACCCCTCCCGCCTGACACCCGTGTCCTCAGCATGCAGCCCCTCCACTCCCCTCCCTGCTGCCCCCTTTCCAGACCTGTCCCTGTCCCCACCCCTATGGTTCCTCCCTCTCAGGGTGGCCACAAAGCCTTGGACTGCACCGGCTGGAGCTGGGGGCTTGGGGAGGGCACACAGTTGCTTGTTGCAAGCCCTGTTCTCTTCTCCCTCCTCACCTGGGCAGGGAGGGGATGCAGCATGGAGGCTGGGGGATGCTGGGCTGGGCTGAGTGCTCCACCACTGGAAGGCAGGGGAAATGCTAGGGCTGCTCCTTTTGCGAGTGCCAGTGGTGTGCTCTGGGTCTTTTGATTACCCCAGCTTGTGCTGGGGGTGAGCTCTTCAGACATTGGCTCTGGGAGGGGCATCAAGGGGGCAGCGCCCTTTGCCCACACCCTTTGGTACACACAGATCTGTGGGTACCTCCACTCCCTGCAGCCTATGGGTTGGCTGGAGGCCAGTTCTCTTAGCCAGCCCAGCACAACACCCCACAACAGGAGCAAGACTCAGGACC